CAGCCAAAATCGTGGCGGAGCATTCCGTACATGATGGTTTGATGGGACCACAACGGGTCTTTGATAAAAATATTATTATTATTACATGAAGGGGGTCTCCGAGACCGTGGCTAGATCCCTCGCGCTGCTCGGATAGGCGTTGCCCACAGGCCCGACTAAACAATTCGCCCACAAGTGATGCGGCCAAAAGACCCGATCACTAAGCAGAAGATGTCGACGGCTGTCTACCGACTTCGGTGTAGCTGCGGGAAGTGCAACTACGTTGGGGAAGCCGGCCGACGGCTGCAAACGCGAATGCATGGGCACAAGATGACCACGCAAAGCGTGGACTCAAAGTGGAAGGTAGCAACCTATGTCTCGCAAATGACACACATCAACTTTGAGGCTGTTGTGATCGTGGGCCGAGGCGATGATCATACAGCGAGGAAAGTGTAAGAAGCCTGGATTGCTACCATCTGCTCTGTCAACCACCATAATAATTTGCCTCCCCCCCCCCATTCCTCCCATATGTAGTTTTACGGAACTTCTTGGCGAGGGACAGTCATGGCGCGGGACAACTGGGGCTGCCAGCTATCTGCGCAACCGACACGGGCGGGAGAGATCCAGGTCACGATAACATGCGGGTAGGATGCAACCATAGAGGCCGCATTGGCGGGTCGCGCATCAAACAGTGAGCCAAGTAAGAAGTGCTGTACGCATGACTTCCTAGTACCTGAATATGTGTAGCCGAAGTAACTACTAGGGACGTCAGACCTCTAATAAACCTTTCTCGAGGAACGCCTCCCCCTCTCATAGATCTGGGGGGCTTGCAAAGTGGCACGACGGGCTTAAAGAATATCCGGAAAAAAACTGTTGGTTGGCATCACAACTTGGTTATCCTGCGGGCTCGATGTAATGTGGCTGTAGCTAATTATTAATGCAGCCTCATTGACAACTGTCGTCTGCGAGAGATTCGCCCATTTCGGATGAGACTAGGCAGTATGTGGCAGGCGTAGATGCAGGCTTTGATTGGTAGCGGTTATTGTTTCCAAGTCCACCTCCAGGCTGTTTGTCAGCAGTTTCTCCACTGGAGGACAAGGAATGTATGAATGAGGAGCGGCTTCCATGTTGTTCACGTCGCCCGCACTGTAAATGGGATTATGCGTGTGCCACAGCCGTCCCCGAGGCAACTCTATTCCTTTTTCCCCGCAACTGACAAACTACAGCTTAGTAGTAAAAGAGGCAAGGTTACACTTCAAAGCACGCTGAGAACATGGTGAATTAACCGAACGGACAGCAAAAACGCGATTTTTCAAATACCCTTGGCAATAAAGACTCACCCTTTCGGTGTTTATCTACTATGATACGCCAGCTTTGATGATGCATATACACGACTCCATGCATTGCCCCTTGTGAAACGCAACACTTGTAACATTTCTGTAAAAAGATGTAAACAAACGGACCGATAATGAAATGAGTCGAGAATCACGGTCAGTAAAGGAGGAAGATAGCCAAAGTGACATACACGGAGGCCAGGCCGCATCAATCATACCTTCAACGAACGGGGTATCAGGTACGTGAAAATGACGTTGACAAGCGTGCGCAGATAGGCCGTTAGGTAGCGCGAAGGAGGCATGTTGGAGGGAAGCTAAAAGGAAGAGAGCAGAAAAAGAAGACGCGACCGTACGAGCAAAAACTTTGTAGCCGGTCGAATCAGAATGAGTTGAGAAGGAAACATAACAATGGTCAAATGAGAACGGACGAATCTCAGGGTTTCCGAGTTTAGGCTGATACATTGCGTTCCCTATACCTCCTGAGAGGTTAGTTTTCAAGCATTGAAAGAAGTTCTGCACAAATAGACATTGTTTACCTAGTCTTCTCTCTATCAGATTCAAGGATAGATTTGTGAAAAAATGTCGGATTCTGACACGCGATATGGCCTATTTGAGTTTCCAAAATTGCCAAAAGCGAATTATTTTTCTCTCTTATAAAACGACTGAAGCGTTTAGGTTGGTTATTCTAACAGAACATATTCCGGATTCGCAAACATACTAAAGGCAAATTCGTTTTCTGGGACCCTTAAATTCTGGGTTGAGGGAACGATCAAATAAGCAGAGGACAAACTCAAGGCTAAGTACACCGAACTGACCGCCATCAACAGTTGGGTGGACCCTCCTGCGAGAGCAGCTCAGTGTAGCGGAAAAAAGACCGGATGCACCAGCGATAGTCCAAGGACCAGCAGGAGTAGAAGTGGGCGTGAACGTATACCCCAGAAGAATGCAGTTGGAGAAAAAACCCCGAAAAGCGCAAACTCGAGCTATCGGGCTTGAACGCAGGCGGACATGAAAGCAGATGATGTGTCAACGTCGACACGTGCGATCGCCGGCCAGACATGAACGAAGACCCCGGAGCTGACTTAGCAACTAATGACCACAGAGATAGTAACGGGCACGCGGGGGACAGGGTCAAGGTGAGCGGGACTTTGGACGGCAAAGATGAACAACGCGGGAGGTTAGTGGACACCGGCGGCAGACAAGGGACGGGAAAATATTTTCAGCCGTGACAACCACCTTCCTCCACAGTCTTGACCACGTGAATAGACTTAGATGCGATAGCCCGCCAGTAAGGGTGACATCCTCTATGTATGCAAATGCATGTTATTATCTTGATTATTAAGTGATGAAGGGTGGTCGAGAACTGAAACATTTTGTTTATTATTGTGAGCTTTCGAAATCGTGCAGAGGTCCATCGTCAGAGATAGTAGCAGCAACAGCACAAGTGACAGTTATAGGGCGCGTAAGCCAATGATCGACCGACGGTGCAAGACTGCAAGTGACTGTGCAGGGCTCTGTACATCGGGGCCAGATCGATGAATCGATTAACTGAATTTTCGTCTGAGGCCCAGGCTTTAATCCATTCTCAGACTGTTTTATTTCAGGCATAAGCAATTATTTTATTGGCTGCGAAGTTCAACTCATGGCCCATTTTGAAGGTGTGGACAGCCACTTGTGATGATGCGTCACCTCATCACACACCCGACCTATGTTCGTGCGTGCACGATCCAAGCACCCGTTCAGTCTGGCCTGTGTAGTTGCAAGGGCAGTTTTGGCACGGGATGCGATACGCTACTCCAGATTTCTCCTCAGGTTTTAACTGGTCTTTAGTTTTTATGACCCTACTTAGCATGATGGCTTTGGGGCAGAGTGCAATTCCAACACCTAGCTCCGCAGCCGTGTGCTCGGTTGCTTCTGAAACGTCCTTGATGTATGACAGACAATGGCCTATCGCTGGTGGTGTTGACGTTTGGGTCATCTGGGGACGACCGCATAGGCAGAGATTACTAAATACCTTCGGACAGACATTTTACACAAGCTGGTCGTGAAGATAACGGGTCTCACGTGCTCCTTCCTCCGGTTTGCTGCAATGAGCCTGGATCCGTTTGAAGAGTATCTTCACACAGTTTCGTTAATGAACCCCGGATGGTTGCTTTGAAAACTTTCAAGCTGTGTGGTGTTAGTCGCATAGCGACGCGTAATGTAGGCAGAATAGCTTTACCGACAAAGACAAGGGACATTGGAATGGCCATTTCTGGCTTATCGGCCGACGGCAGCCATTTATACCCAATCACGAGGTGTGCAGTCCCTGGGGATTAATCCAGCGACCTGTTGGTTAGAAGTTCAAAACCCTAACCACTGAACCGCCGGTTAGTTGTTCTATCGGTTGCGAGCGGGTATATGCAACGGTGGAGGGGCAATCACAGAGATCGCGTTATGCGACACAGTCTCAGGACTCAGTTTCGAGTCGCGTCAGCAGCCGCTCAGCGATACGTATTAGCGGCAAAATAGCATTACCTGGAATGGCTATTTCCGACTTATTACCCGTAATCGGCCCGCCACACACAAACCCTCTAATATTGTTGACACATCCGATCACAATCGACAGGATGAGTAAGTAGCTCAATAGTTAGGACGCTGGACTTCCAACCAACAGGTCGCGTTTTCGAGTCCCAGGTACAGCAAAAACCTGGGGGTGGGTGTGGCTGGCTGACGACGGCTAGTAAGACATTCCAGTCTCCTACGATGTCGAAGAAGCCCGTTATAATATGTCTACCTTTTAAGGGTGGCAACGTCTCAAACACAATCAAGCGACGCTTGCTTTGCACTATAGAAAGAACGTACAACGCAGCAGAGCTTATCTTCATCAATTCCACAAGAATCCTTCCAATTAACCGGGCAAAGGATGCCTTGCCAATGCACGCCACCCCAAATTGTGTGTATGAATTCACATGCACTTGCGGATGCAAGTACACTGGGCGAACGCAAAGGCAATTGGCAGCCAGGGCCGCTGAGCATTTGCCTAATTGGCTTTTCAAACAGGAAAATAAAACCCTCCAATTCGTCTATAACGAAACATCAGTTAGATAGCGGTCATGTTGTCGACCCTAAAGCATCTTTTCCAGTACTTGTCCGAGCGCAAACAACTCGAACCTTGTGTTATTTGGAAGCGGCTTACATACGGAGGGAGAAACCAGACCTCTGAAAGCAGTTAGATCACGTGATCACTCTGCAATTGGCCTGGTAATCTCACGCCTCAAGTTACTCCTGACTTTGATTTGTTGTTAGCATTTCGTCTCCCTCTTTCCTATATGATGCTTATGTGGACGTCTTATCTGATTATTCATCGCCTTGAACCTTGACCTTGCTCTTATGCACTGCCATTCTTTACAAATTCATACTCCTGTGCGCTTTCATTCGTTACCTATGTTATGCAGAGACAGGCTGCAGTTGAAAGGCCGTCACGAAACTTATTGGCCCCGATAAATTCTGCAGTACATGCTTGTTTTCAATTCATACGCGGGAAAAAAATGTTTCAAATTTGTTGGCAATGTTATTTTGCTTCTTAGACATGGAAATGGCCGAAGAAAGCAGAGTCGCTCACCTGAAAAGCCCGACAGACCATATCGATTGACAGGGATGCATTTGCAGACATGTTCACGAAGAATTTCAGGTGTGTTATAAACGTTAAGGTATAACTGATTGAGGGGTAGTGAGTACCAATGAAAGATCCAGCACATTCAACAACCAAAATAAGGCTAATAAAAGGATATATTTTGTAACAAGTTTCAAATTCGACTGCTCCAGGTAGCAACACTTAGGAATGGCCGAGTTGAGGATCTGGCACATAGTTCGAAACACCTAGAACATTGCTAGTGCTTCAAAATTTGCCTACCGCATGGGAGCTGATGAGAAATGTGCTCCGAGTGCAGCGGATACGGCGGACCATTCTGTCGATGATGAAGGACCTGCATTGCTAGAAAAGAAGCATCAACCTTAAAATTACCAGTTTCGAGAACTTTCTGTGAGCTTATCAACCACTTCACGCAGACTAGGATCACCGAGAAGGGATGCCCTGTGGAGTTCTCCTAAACTGACATACCTATCCAGCGTCTTCACAACGTAGGTTTCTGGAGGGGAATACTTGGAAGTGCTTGGCGAAACTTACTTGCCTCTATATAGGCCTGTTGGTGAATACGGATGCGACCCGGAATTATGCCACCCGTCATCCCCTAGAGGAAGAGAGGAAACAAAAAGCAGGTGTGATTAGTTGTGGATAAGCCAAGTGACCAGTTTCGCTAACAATGGTCGTGAAACTCCTTTACAGGTCAGAGTTGAAGAAAAAAACAGTAGGGGCCGTCAGAAACTCAGTACAGCCACTCGTGATATGTGGCTACACCTTTTGAAATCATTTGTCATCCCGAGTCTTTTGTGTAACACTACCAAAATAAGCATAGAAATATAGTTCAACAGGAAGAACCGCGATATTTCCATTATTCCAGCCATCCCCAACGGGCACTAGTTCACTCTTCAGTCGAAGAGTACGCCGAACACAAAAAGCTGCTGCTTTAAAACAATTCGCAGTGTGCGAAAAATAACCCTCCAACTGTAAATGACTTGGCGCCTCTGCTCTACAATCCCTCGGAAACTGCTACTCACGGCCTGACAGTCACTAAACCTGCTAATAGAAGCGAAGAGGCGACTTCCAGGTAGTAGTTGCTATGAGGGAGACACGATCGCCGGAACATGAGCTTTATCAGCCCGACGTTTCGGATTCTCACTGGAATCCATCATCAGAGACAGTCACATAGGGGTGGTAAATTGCCCAGGTGTTGCAGTATTTATAAGATGCAGTTGCTAGGTCGCTACATGCCTATCGCAGTCGGCAGCTCACAAGTGCTTTACGGTTCGACTGGCCATGTGTTGAAGCATGCAGTTGCCGTGTAGTTGCTATGCCCTTGTGTGCCGGTCAAGATTATCGATTCCCACGCTCATCGCACGCAGTCGAGTTGCAGACGGTCGGATTTCGTCATCCGTGTGGGCTCTTGGGCAATTTGGCTCACCGATACTGACACTAGGAACTGTGTTCATCTGCACGCTGTCCTCACGACTAACTACTTTGCCTAGACAAAGTCTTAGCGCCGAATATAGAGCGGGGAGGCCACTGCGCTTGTTGATTGACTGACGACCGGAAAGCCATGACTCGGAGGCCACCATAAGGCGCTAGACCATGAGGCCGAAAGACCCATTGCCACGGTAGAAAACATCTGGAGTCGTTTACCGTGTCTGGTGCAGCTGTGGACAAAGCAACTGTGTCGCACCAAGGAGGAGTCGCTGCAACGCAGCTCTAACCGAATAATCACACCAGCTAGTAAACTTCCAAGCCACAACCGCTGATGTGTTACAATAAGTAGATAACTTGCTTTATCTAACACCCATAAGGGTGCCCTCGTGGTACGTAAAGATACACTTTCGAGTGGATTCTAGAGCGAGTAGGCAAACACTGTATAGTGGTCAGTTTATGCTTCTGAAATAATCAACCTAATGTGCAAAGCGGCTAGCAACCAGTAAAAAAAACGCGCTTGTTTTCTTTTTATGGTCGTGAAAATATGCGGCACATACATCTTACTCTCCTCCCCACTATGTTCGTGACTGGCCAAGAACGGAATTAACTAGTGACTAGTATAGGACCATCTAACGCCTATCCCGAACGAATGCACCAACGGCAAGGCACGCAAAGAACTCCTGTGCAGAGAGAATCCAAAATAATGCGGGTAGGGCACGCACGAGGAACGCCAGTTGGGGAGGGGAGGATACAGCTCCACACATGGACCGCGGTTTACTGTGCTGGGACTACGAACAACAAAAACTCGTGGTTTTAAAAACGGCAATCAGTGTGAACTTCCTGCTAACAATGATTCGTGTTCGTAGTACGGAATGCTTAGAGACGAGATGTAACACCCCTTGGCATGGACAGGATTGTTTGAATGTAGTAACACTTTTGGCGTTGACTTGGGATGGAGGTGGTGTAACTGCGTGCTGGTGCAGCCGGCCGGTGTCCCTTCCTCTCGCCACCGCCGACACCCCCCTCTCGCAACACACTGACGCTGTCGACTCTTTCCCATTCAACGTCGGCTCCTCCCTCGGCCCTTCCCTGTAGTTGCCCACAGCGCTGCACCCCCACCGGCTGTTTAGCTAGTATGTCGGGGTCACCTATCCATCCAGACAGGTCACCTATTCGTTGTTTCTCATTCCACGTGTGCATTAATGTTTGTTTTACACATTCTCCATATCCATGTCGTTCTATTATACCATACCCCATACTTGGCGTACTTTCTTTTCCTGCGCGTGAATGAGTTTCTAAAGATGCTAACAGTTCTGTTCAGATTTACCTCCACCAGGATCTCTTCTCAGTGTTTCCTTACTTTGGTGTGTGCTACTCTTGACGTCCTCGGCCGCTACAGAGCCGCAGAATTCTAAAATGATGCATACAAATAGATCCCTGTGAGTAACACGTGCCCCCACAAAGAGCCACACTGGACAAAACGGGGACTGGACTGGGATAGGGCACGCACAGTTCGCGCCACGCCAGCCACTTGCGCCCAGCCCCCGCATTTGACGACTGACCGGCTCGGAGAGTGGACTGGGTGAGGTAAGAGAGAATGAGGTCGATTCAGGGAACTCCGGTCCCACGGTACTCAGCACATTTGCCACTACAAAAAATCGGACACGCCAAAAGTTGTGGCTTGGAAGGCTGCTTACTGACAGGGTAATTTAGCCCTCTCTGGATGGGAAGTCAGTCTGCAATGACTCTTGCATAGTGAGGTCCCTATGAAGCTTCTACTTAGATTGGATTCCTACTGCTCCCTGTTTCTGCGGAAAAACCCGGTCCGCTGTGCGGGGACCAGGTCGTGTGCGTGGGACGCATGGACGGACCGTTTGGCTTTCCCAACCACTATGCCCGAATCCACCTCCGGTCGCTCTGATGCTTTTGCTACCGGGTCCAGGGGCATGAGGGACGGGAGAATGTGGCATATGCTATGCAAAACTATTATCGCTAATTCGTGAACAAATCACCGTCCCGCGCCCACCAACTGTGGTGCACTCGATGGATGTTGTCGTACGCGACGGCCCGTCGTCGTGATTACCGCACTGCGCCCACGCATACCCGCCAAGTTATCGTCTGTCTGTTGGAGCATCTGGGTATCTTACTGAATGCTTCAAATTTCGATCAGTGGTCCTGGTCGCCACGCAGATGAGGCGCTACTTGTCGGTTTATCTGGTCATATTTCCGGAATTGAGACAATGCCCATGGGATGATTCAGAAAACCAGTTAGCGAGCATACGTGTGCCTTTGATACATTGTCATCGAGCCGGTGCATTCATATGGAAATGAGGTAATGAGGAGAAATTAACCACAGTTCGTCTTTCCATCCAAGCGATGTGCGGGAACGGGGGAAGAATAAGAGACAGTGAGTTAGGAAGAAGTGGGAGTGAGGATAGGCTGCCAAGTCAGACCACCTCCAGATGCATTTATACCTTTAATTGCTCCTGTGGAGCGGGTTATATTGACCCACGAGTAGACGCCTGTCCAAAAGAATACGGGAACACCTTCCAGAATGGTCGAAAGGGCGAAATCAAAAGCAAAACAACGCCATTCTAGCACACATTGTTGATCCCGAGCATTATGCGAATCCCGACAAACCCTTTGTCTGATTCACGGGGTCCCACCGAACTACCTTCAGTCATTTGGCCAGCGTCTGTTAGCAACAGCAGAGGCGATTGCCATCAGGCCACAAAAGCCGGTCTTGTGCGCACAGAGGCCCTGATACTAGCTCCAGGCCTACCGTGGGAAAACGTCAGTTAAATACATGTACTCCTCCGCGCCCATCCTCCCTCAAGCCCTCCTGTCTTCTAACTCAGTCTCTTACTCCCCTTTCCCTGTTTCCGCACTTCACTTGAATAAACAGATGAACTGTAATCGATTTCACCTATCACTTGCATGCTTTTCTTTTGCCCCATTCCCATAAAGATGCACTGGCTCGGCGATAATTTATCGAAGGCATACGTATTCATTTTTTGAGTCGTGTGAACTTCCCGTCTTCTTTTCCTAAGCACTGGCCCGTTCTCTACTGACTGCTCATTCACCCTGCCACGTGCAATGTTATCCCGCACAGCTTCGTTTTTGAAAGATATTGAATCTTTTATCGAGAACGATAAGCAGGATTTCTGTCGAAGACGAGACGACTATATCCAGACAGCCCTTAAATGGCTGAGTATAGGATGAATTTGACCCGTGACCGCTTACCCCTCGTAACACACCCAAATGCCAGTCGGGGTAAGGATATGGTATGCAACTCCGCTGGGAGAACTAAGTCAACTGCAACTCCAATGGCAACCGAGGTCATGCCTGTAGTGAGCAACCTCGACCGCTAACTCGTAAACATTTAAATCAAACACGAACGCGGTCGTAACCCTAACTCAGGCTAGCCCTAAAACCTAACCCTGCCCCCCACCCTAACCCTAATCATGGAACTCTAACCTTAACCCTGATCTTAATCCTCCAACTCCAACCCAAGACCAAAACCCCAATCCTAGTCTCAACCCCAAACCCAAGCCATAACCTAATCTTGACAACTCTAGCCCTAAGCATAGCCCAACTCCTAGTACTAACTCTAACTTTAAACGTAGCCCTAACCCTAACTATGAGCCCGATATGGGCACCTTTAGCGTCATTAACGCTAGTCAAGGTGGAAATCCGCTCATCGTATGGCCCCCTGCGGAACCGATTGCCAGGCAAACGATTTTGAGCCACATCTGCCTAAATAAGATGGGAAGGCAGATTTTGGACAACCATCCAAGGGGGGTTACATGTCCTACCCCCACCCCAGTCAAAATTGAGGAGGCTGAGCTACGTAAGTCACCAGATGCCAAATGATAGATGAGACAAAGACCTAGTTTGGCACAGGTGCGAAACAGGACCAGCCGAGGGCAGGTAGAGGCCATCAAGAGGCAAACGTTGTGGTTTGAGAGCGTGTTTCAACTGCTCTTTTCGAAAACGAATCTTAGTTAACATCATAATTGGAATCCTTGCTTCACTACGATGTCAGTAATGAGACGAGTGGTAGGTAGTCGACGATACGAATACCTGGCTTTTCTAAACCAAGACCCTCCGTACCTTATCTTAATTCATTCTGATCATACCCTACTAGCACCCGTCGCCGTCCTAAGGTCTAAGTCATGGGTCCGTCAACCCCAGTCACCTGAGAACAATGAGAAGCAGTCCACTTGTATGACTGTCTCCACGAAATGATCGACATAGGGAACGTACCTACGATATCTGATCTGTGCTTCGAAAACTCGCATTATTGTCAATCACTTGTGCTAAAAATAGAGGAGGAACGACTCTTCGGGCTGGGCCATGATCTCGTTCATCTCAGTTTGATCCAGCCCTTTGGACGTGAACATGTGCTAGCAGAGTATAGACGCGTTGATGCAACTACCTCATTCACCTGTGCCTTTTATGCTTTTTTTGGAGCGCATTGCCTCCTGGAAGGCATTTGGCCACAAAAAACGAGTCACCGCCCTCTGCAGAACTTCTGGTACCCTATGCTACATGTCCCACAGGCGGTGCTATCTCGCGAAAGCGCTAGCGTGTCTTCAAACTCTGGTTAATTTGCGTGCAAAGTTTAAGCACGCAGTACGCCGAGAGTAGGTGGAAGTACCAAGCTCCCAGCCTTAAAAAACGGCACGAAGCCTAGATGATTTTATTAAAAGTTCGCTATCCAAGGCCAGGCCAAACAGTGGCTCCGTGTGATGAAGTTTTTAAAGCCGAGACCACTCAAGACAGCAGCATCCTAGTTTGCTTGACCGAATATTCGAGCTAGAGAGGGTGAGTCGTATGGTAAATCACACCTGTAGTCACCGGAAAAACGAGTTGCGCGTTGGCCCATCTGCTGGCTATCCAGCGCGTCCACACATGGCGGATAACAGAAGGGCCCTCCGCGAGGGCTAACTGCGAAGTAAACAGGTTCTCAGTGTTTGTGAATGAGTAGTTCCGGACTAGCAGCGACAATGCTACCAGGGTACGGAAAACAGCGATCGGGCATACTGACTGATTTATAAAATTCCGTCAAGTCGGATGACGATACCGTGGCATGGCGACCATGAATCGGCACCAGGAAAGTTTGCTTGTCGCCGATGCCTTGTGGTTAGGCCTTTGTGCCGATGCACTAGAGGAGACAACCTGACGCCGCGCAGTCATCTTTATCACAATGTGGACGTTTGCTGTCTGCCAAAAGTTCGAATATCCGAGTCAGTAAGGTAGTATTTATTACTCCCGCGAGCTATAGGTAGAGTCCAGACGAATTCCTTCCGATAATGTCCGCCTTCTGTCCTGCGATTAGGATGGATCGATGGACATTACTGCCACATCAATTCCTCCTGTCTGTCTTTAGAGACTTAGGTCGTGGCATCGCTAATGGGCTGAACAGTAGAAAATAGCAAGCAGCAGAGAAAAGGCACAGCAGAGGGGCAACCGACTTTATGTGGAAAAACATACACATAAAACGAACAAGCAGCTGGAAATGCTTTTGGGAGAATGAAGAGTAAAGAGAAATGGACAAAGACAGCGTTCCGGAGGCAAGTTCAAGAGAAGGCAAGCATGTGTAAACGACCAGTCTTGGCACCTGAAATCAGTAATGGGAGTACTGATGGCAAACTGTTCCCCGGCCTCTTTTTCTCTTTTTCTTCTACCTCGGAAGCAATACGTTTTAGGCGCTGGCCTGCAGCCTGGCCAGATATTCCAAGTGAATTTTATACACGCTCCACTAGTCAAGTGGATTCGGGCGCCACCAGTGAAAGCGCGTTAAGCGTTGGAAAATTTGGTCTTTTCCGGAGACATTTCGATTCGCTGTAGAACGAACAGTGACCAAAAGCACGTTTACCATCGCAGAGGAAAGAGACAATGCTGTCATTTGCTATAACTTTAACGACGGTCTGAAGGCCCACATGAGGGCAACGGTAAATATAAGCTCAGTGGTGCGACAAACATTAGCTGGTAGATTTATTTTAAAAGAGTGTTTGTTCAGAACCCTGTAGAACAATGCACTAAAAGGACTGGCAAGACTACATAAAAATCTCATAAAACAAATACTGATAACAAGACAGAATGCCTATAGTAGGAGGAAAGCGAATCAACGTACTTTAATTGTAACCAGGCACAAACACAAGCAAGGACCCATGCGAGCGACACCTCACTGGTCAAAAATAGACCTGTAGTCGTTTGTGAAGTGACCTATGCACATGCGTGCTTTCTCTACAGTTTTTGTTTTACTTACTTGTACTTGATACAGCTGCGATCATGCCTAATCTAGCGGGCCTCGATGATTTCCCGAACTGTACCTCTCCACGCGTGACGATCCGCGGTAGCAGATCTGGACAGCTCAACCCATTCCCTTCGCCAACGACGGAGACCAAATACCGAAGGTCCAAGAACCACCTCCATGTCTTGACGAACTGTGTCGAGTCAGGTTTCGAACTGACCCCCTCTTCAACGCCTCCAATGGGGCAACGGTGCCGGATCGAGGGCAGTCACACTGAGCTCCTGAGGTGGACGACGAAGAACATGCCCGAACCACCTCAGTCGTCTTTCTTGGATGGCCTGAGTTATCCTTGCGATGTTGTCGCAGCGAGCGCGGACTGTCTCATTTGAGATGAAGTCGGTTAACTTCACTCGAAGGATGGTCCTCAGGCAGTGGTGGTCGAATACCTCCGGTTTTCGCTCGTCCTCCACGTGCAAAGCCCAGCATTCACAACCGTAGAGAAGGACAGACCGGACAGATGCACGGTACACGCGAATCTTCGTGGCGATGGAGAGGTAACTTCGGTCCCATAGGCATTTCCGAAGGCTTGAGAAAACGCAGCGGGCAGCATCGATTCGGGAGACAATGTCATCCTTACTCTGTCCACTAGGCAGCAGCCTCGCCCCAAGGTATTTAAAACTGTCTACTTCTTCAAGTTGACAGCCACCAATCCCGAGGGGTGCCTTCTCCAGGTCAGGGATGCAGCTTGAGAATACTTTGGTCTTCCCAGCGTTTATGGACAAACCGACCGATTTAGCAACCTCGTTCACCCGTGACACTATAGACTGCAAATCACCAAAACTTGTAGCAAGTAAGGCGATATCATCGGCATAGTCGAGATCAATCAGTCAATGTCCGGGTGCAAACTCAACGCCGTCGCTCTTGCTTAGAGCCCTCCCGCGGATCCAGTCAATGGCGTAGTTGAACAGTATGGGTGACAAGATACAACCCTGTAGGACGCCAGACCGAATACTGAACGGTTGGGAAAGATTGTTGCGGACCAGGACTCTCGCAGTAGTGGAGCAATAGTAGGCCTTAATCATGGCGATGATTTTTGACAGGTACACCATCTAGCGCCATTATCCGCCACAGGGACTCACGGTGAATGGAATCGAACGCGGCGGCAAAGTCAATGGAGCAGACGGCCGTCGGTTGTTGGTAGCTATGGCGAAATTGGAGAATGCGCCTCATTGTGAATATCTGGTCTGCGCATCCACGTCCAGCACGAAATCCCGCTTGGTTAGGCCTCGTCCTTGAGTCACTCACAGCCTGGAATCGCCTGAGTAGGTTAATAGGGAAGATCTTCGCAGCAACGTCGATGAGACTTATGCCGCGGTAGTTCTTGCATCTCGTCTTATCTCCCTTTTTGAGGATAGGTACAAGGATGCCTAAGCCCCAGTCATCAGGAACAACCTCGTCTCTCCACGCTCGTTCAATCACCTCATAGAGCCAGGGCGCCAGTGTCGACACAAGACTTGAAGATTTCAGCGGGTATACCATCCTCTCCGGGTGCCTTATTGTTGCGCAACTTTCGTATGGCATCGGCGACTTCTTTCTCGGAGGGGGGATCGCATGGCACTGCATAGGTAGGAGAGGGAAGAAACTCCGCTGAGGAGGAGGGCAAGGGTGAGGTAAGTTGGGTATCGAAGTTGAGATGGTGCTCAAAGTGCTCACGCCAACGCTCGACTTTGGCCGAGTTGTCAGCAATAATGCCGCCGTTTACATCGCGATCAGAGTCACTCAATGTAGAGGGTTTACCGCTAACTCGGCGGATCAGACGGTAGAGCTTTCGAGTGTCACCAACGTTCGAGGCCTGTCCCATGGAGGTCGCTATCTCAGCCCAATATTGCTTCCGGCCATCGCTGGCCGATTTTGCCGTCATCTTCCGAAGTTGGCGGAAGTAGTCATTGTTTCGGAACCTGGCTCTAGCCGTCTGAACAGACAACTACAGGGTTCTTCCGCTGATCCAGTCACTGCGGCATCGCGTGGTGTATCCAAGAATTTTCCCAGCTGCCCCATAGACTGAAGTCTTCAGTGACGACCACTGGTTACTCACTTCTCCGTCGGCTCGGGTCGTAAAACAAGTCCAGATTTCTCAGCTTAGGGTCTCGGCAGTGCTGGCTTGCCGGATTTTTGCGAAATTGAGGCGCAGGATGAGAGATGAACTTTCAAGCGTGTACGGACGAGGACATGGTCCAACCCATGGGTGTTACCAGTCTCGGCACCACGCATCGATCTGCTATCGTGAACCCAGCTGCGGAACCTTGAGCTGACTAGTATGTAGTCAATCTGACTGGCCGTATGGCCGTCGTTTGAATACCAGGTCTGCAGATGTTTCTTGCGATGCTGGAAACATGTGTTGGTGACAAGCAGTCGGTTTCGATCAGCAAAGTTCAGCAATCCCTCACCATTTTCGCATCGGGAGCCAAGCCCAATGTGGCCAAGAAGATGACTGGTTGTGGGGTCGCCAAGTCCAGTTCGACCATTCCAATCGCCAGCATCAATCAGCAGATCGCGGCGAGGCCGTCTTTTAACTAGCGCTTGCAAATGAGAGCAAAACGCCTCTTTATCGCGCTGTTCGAGCGACGAAGTTGGTGCGTACACAGAGACGATGGAGATGTTCGTGAAGTGACCCTTCAGTCGCACGTAGGCCATTCGGTCATTGACTGGTTCCCAAGCAAGTAGCGCGAGGTCCGCTTGTTGTGATAGGGCGATCGCCACACCGTGTCGACCAGAAGAATCACGCGGGCCGCTGTGATACAGGGTGAAGTGTGATTCAACTCCCGGGATCTTTATTTCACGGGAGCCTGAGTCAGGGAGTCGAACTTCAAAGAGACAGCAGGCATCCACGTTTTACTGATAAAGGCTGCGTGCGGCCAGACTTCGGGTATCAGGGTCCAGGAACGTTCGCGCATCCCAGCATCCAATACCGAGTCCGTTCACGATTGAGTAGTCCAGCTCGAATACTATTCGCCTGCATCACTGGACCAGGGTTGCGGAGCGCATCGGTTCCCGCGGACGCCGTAGCATGGGTCGTCATACTGTGATCGGACATATTTCATGAGGTTTCTTGGGAATTTCGAATACGGGCTGGTCCCCAACCGCCGCTCGGATTGTTTGCTCGAGGTTGTCTCCTCTTGCGCTTTGGCTTAAAAGCCTAACCGCAAGGCAGCGGTGGCAGGTAAACTTATTTAATGGCGGTTTAAGGTCGCCATGTCATAATGCCGTCATTTCAGCGTGCCGGACCTCAGTCCACCGCAACCTGGTAGCAATGTCGCTGTTGTTCCGTGACTGCTTATTCGTCAGACCTGTGTCTGCTTATTTCGCAGCTAACCTTCACTGAAGGTCGTCCCACTATCCGCCACCTGTGGACGCGCCGGGTAGCCAGCAGCAGGACTAACGGGCAACCCGTCTGTTCTAGTCCGATGGAAAGAACGCTTTTGAACCGACCAAAACATCGATATTTTTCGTTGACGAACCTAGCACTGCCAATAGAAATGAAGAGACGAGTCCCAGGAAGTAACTGTGTAGAAGGGGACACGATCGCTGGCACAAGAGCTTTATTCGCCTGACATTTCGGATTCCCGCTCGAACCCATCATACAAGACTATAGCAGATACGGAATGTCTATCCTCACGACACATCGAAGAATTCCTCACAACAATAAACCTGACTCACTTGAATCTATCACGAAGCGCCAAGGGTCGTAGATTAGGAGGCTTACAACTGCCGGGATAATTCGGTCCTTCGCAGGACTGAGGGCCAGGCTAGAATGGCTGCTTCTCACGGCTCCACGACCCTCTCACTGACAGGCGAGCCGAACCGCCCTCATGAAATCCTTTTACATGTACTGAGGACCAGGTCGCGTGTGACACATGTGAACGGGCAGTGGGTGAGGAAGGGGAGCGCGGTAGATGCTGCGCAAGTCTGCCTCACTAAAAAGCGATTCACGCGCAAGTCAGTGTTGCAGCGCCTATCCCGCGGAAAACGCGATGGAAATCATTGCTCGCGATGTTCGAACTGTCGTACTGGGCTAGAAAGTGGTAACGGCGGAACCTATCGGAGCACGCACTTATCCTGATCAACAACGGATAGGTTACTGCCCACTTCACTCCAGAGCCAAAACACAAATGCACCTTGACAGGATCGCAAAAATGCAAAACGAAATTTCGGTGGTGGTAAATGCCACTTTATGAATAACTTTTCAAGCAACCTATAATCTACGTGGGAAATGGGTCTCTGGAATTCCTGGTAATGCACCAACTTAAATGAACTTAGTACGCTAATTTTATTTTTCATCCCCTATGACTAGTGTTTACCACGTATTCAGTAGTAGGCAGATCTATCGGAACCAATTTTTCGTTCATCCTTGGTATCAATCGCACAGAACTGTAACGTGTACTGCCTGAAAAATGCTGGAGCCAGTCTAATCTCCCATGTGGAAGCAGCAAAGACGTCACCAAACATTCTTGCGCGGAAGCCCCCCAAGACGAATGTCTTCATGATATCTGTGTAGTTAGAACAGATCACGCGGGAGCGGCACTAAAAAAACAAAATTGGAGGAAATAAGTATAACAATGATCAAAGTTAGACACGTTAGCCATGTTGACATAGGCTACAAACCAAGGAAACATGCCTTAGTCCCAGACGACTGTTGAGGTAGTAAAGAAATGAGAGTGGTGTCGTATTTATAAGTCCCCCACAAAAAAACAACTCTGAATGAAGTGGTTGCGGTTTTTCATACCCCATCTTATTTGCGTATTAACTGGTATGACTTAGGTGGCAACGTAGTTCATTTTACTAACTGTAAGCCTCTACACCAGAACAAGTGTTGAAAAACGAAAGGGTAGGACTGGAATGCAACCACTCCACCCTAAAATCCATGCTTATGTGGTTGATACCTAATTTCCTCAGGCCTTAGTCTGCATTTGGTTATGAACCTCGAAAATAATACTGCGGGCTGTGTTTTCACCATATGCATAATAGCAGGCTACAGTGATTTAACTGGCGTTTGGATACCTACCCCGAAAATGACACCTTTGCAAGTATGCTTGCCTTACTTATCTGTTTGCCAGCAGTATACATCTTAAAGCCACAGAAAAAAGGCGTGGTAACTGCATACGTCAACAGAATAGGGAGCTACATATCTCTGGGCTGTACGCTCAGAAATACCTCACTTACACTTAACAAGCCTGCTAAAGATTATGAGATGGATAACGCCAGCCGACGTGTCTCACATGCCCTTGGACTCACAAACACTTCTGGGTGGAGCAAGTGCCCTGTCACAGGTAACGACATTGGGCAGCTAGGAGTACGCTCGCTTAGAACTTGTAAAGCAGTTGACTGAGCGGTTGCGTGCCTTTTCCATGAAAATGTTAGGTGATGAGGTGGCAGATTTCCTACCATTCGACGGTCTCCCCATTCATAAGAAGATTAAGAGATTGCTGGCCAATTTGGGCAGAATTAAGTAGCTGTTTGTCAGTAATATATTTTCAGTGGGATTTATTACAATAATGACAAGTCATCGGATGTGCAGTCGTTTGCAGACCGCTAGTAGGAGTTATTAACCTTAGCTAGGTGTTATCTGCTTGTAGATGTACTAGATCGAAGGCTGCAGTTCCGTCAGGTGGCCGTTATCTGTGATGCACTTGCTAGGGCTTTCCTCAGGCAGATTAAGAATGTTGATTGATTGATTTTGATTGCGAAGGTCGCTGTGTTAGGGGAATACCTAGACAAGGTAGGTTATTATTGTGTCTATGAGCGTACTAGGGCGGATCAGAACTTCTTATCCGCCGCTGATAACAGCCACCGCATTGGCATTTCACCTCTGCTGGACTGTAACCCAGAAGTGATTAGCTCTTTCCCTTTAGACCCTCTTCATCTAGTTGATCGAGGTGTATTGAGGAGGCTATGAAACTTGTGGCTTCGAAGCTCAGGGAAAAACACCTTTAGGTTGTCAAATGCAGTGGTAAGTATGGTTAATAAAAGGTAAAAATCGTTGAATGCGTACCTGCCACGCCAATTTTAGCAGCGAGTCAGGTCCCTTAATGATATGGACACATGGGAGGGTACGGAACTACGTCAGTTCGCGCCTTATACAGGTAGAGTGGTTCTGTGTGATATTCTTTCTTGTAGATTTTGGAAGCATTTCCGGTTATTATCTGCGACAGTACGTTGTATGGTTCGTCCTCAGTCCTGCAAACAGTAAGTTCCTTATTGTAGGCATGCGGTGAGTATGTTTGTTGATAAATTTTCCTTCTTATATGGTAAGGCTAAAGTGCTGTACAGTGTTCAAAGCATTGTCCACTTACCGAACGATGTTCTACGGAACGATCCGTTAGACCGTTCCTCTTCGTTCCCATTTAAAAGTTCCCTAGGAAGGGTGGAGCGGATGCTTGGAAAGCGAGGGTCAGTAACTAGGCAGTCCACTGCATTGGAATTTTAAGTATGCATATTCAAAGGGCCCACTACTGGAAAGGGGTGGATCCTTTAAACAGAAGTCTACTTAGCGGTACGACACCCAATTAGGGAACAGCCGTCGTCGACCGTAAGTTAGATTTTATCCGCAACATTGTGCGGTAAGCATCTGGGCACGGTAGGGTAGTGTTTATGGAGTACGAGAACTTAGGAGATTATTTCAAGCACCTCACTACGCTCTCGCAAATTGAAGTTTTTAAGACTACTGTTGGAACTTTACTCAAGACCTGCCCACTGCCGACAGCGGTGCGCAAGTACGCTCGTTTCCCAGTCGACGACCAGTTTGTCCTTATGGAGATCCACGGACGCTGGGACGCGAACTGGCAGCAGCGACCGGCCACCTACGAAATGATGATTGCGCCTGATGGCGATTTTCCCCGATATTCACGACAGACAAGGTCAGTC